GTTGTAATGTCTCCCATTTCATTTCTTATTTGGGTTATTTGTGTCCTCTCCTGTTTTTCTTTTGTCAGTCTGGCCAGTGGTTTGTCGTTAGGGTAATTTTTAATTTCTTCTTTTTATGTATATTTTTTTCTTAAACTTTCTATAATAAACATGTAATATCTTTATAATAAGAAATAAAAACGTAAGTATCATTTTAAGACATCATTTGAGGATGAATTAAGACTCGAAATCTGCCCTCAAATTTATATCTCCTTTTCAGTTTACTGGTTATTAGCTTTTCTGAGTCAGGGAATTTCTCACTTTCAGCCTGATTTTTTATTCAGTGTGAGTGGTTTTAAAAGGAAATTTACATTGAACGTCAAGTGTTCGACAGATGGTTTCTTTAAAACTTACATTATGAGCTCTGATAAAATTTTAATGTCATGCTAAATGGAGAAAAGTGAGGCTTATGGAAAATTAGCACAAACGAGAAAAAAGAACATATTTCTTTTTGTGAATCATTAACACCCTCTCCAGGACTGGCCACATAATTTGTGAGTACAGTGCAAAATGAAGATGTGGGGCTTTATTTAAAAATTGTTAAGAATTTCAAAATGATGACCTCAGAGCATTAAATCAAGTGCAATGCCTTCTAACCGCAGGGCTGTATGGCAGCACAGCTCTCATGCCCATGAAGCCAGCTCTGTCCTCTCTTCCCACCACACTCATAAATGTCTTGAACAGAACACAATTTAGCTACCCTGGTTTTATTGGTCAAAAAGAATTAGAAGCTAATGCAGGTGTGAGGCAGAACGTTCAGGAGGAGTCAGACAATCTTGGGTTCTAGTCTGGGTTCTGACACTTACTTACTGCATGATCTTGAGCAAGTCATCTCACTTCTAGAGAATGAGAAAATGATTTTTCTATAGAAACATATAAAGATTGCCTATACTTTCCGCACTTCCCTCACTTTCCACGCTAGAGTTCCTGGTCAAACTCTGAACCTTTTCATTGCCTTTAAACCCACCCCTTCTGCAGTCTCTCTGTCAAGCATCATATTCTCTGAACACCACCTCCTCTCCATTCCTATCATTTATTCTAGTACTCTCAGTCCAAAAATTCTTCAACCTCATTGGTACCTCTCATCATTGATTTCATCATTTCTCCATGTCCTCAGTTTCCTCCTCACCTATCACATATTCCCTGGTCCATCACCCCAATTCTTTCCGTCATACACTCTTAACTTTTTTTCTCCTCACTCTCTTTTTACACACACCCAGCAAAACCCTAACCCTGGTTAAACCAACCTTCCTACTCACTCCATGCCAGAACCTGAATAACAGATTTGCTAGAGAAACACTCATCTTACTTTAAATTTATAACCATTGATTTCAAGCAGACCCTCAGAACTTTCTGGAAATTCTTATACATTTCTTTAGAAAAATCACTTTCTAATTCTCTGGAACAACAATTTCATATCTTATTTTCTCTCCTCAAAACTCAAACATCCCCTCTCACATCCTCACACTCAGCTGTTTACTTCCCTTCATATGTCCTTGATAAGATACAAGCAATCAAATGAAAACCACCTCACATTCCTACCAGCCAATCCGCTAGTATATTCTCCCCATCACAATGAAGGAATTTTCCCTGCTTCTTTCTTCTCTGGTGACCTGGACTCCATACCCTCTTGTCCATTTAAGGACTTTGGTTCTGCAGTTATCTTCTCTTTCCTTCTCCCACATAACATCATTGTCTCTCTTGCTTTCTTCTAGATAACTTTAATACAGATATAATGTAATATCTCTCATTTGTTGGAGGTGGGAGGGGTGGGAGCTTTACTTTGAGCCAATGCCCACCTCTTACTATTGCCTCATTTTTCTACTCTGCTTTGCCAAAAATCTATGAAAATGTTCTATTTTCATTAACTCCACTTTATAACCTAATTTTCTTATTTTAACCTGTGTCATGTTCTCATTTCCACAACAGCCCTAAAACTCTTCCTATCAAAGTCAACCACAGGTTCCATCTTTCTAAATCCAAGCATGAATTCTCAGTCCTAACTGACTTCTTGGCAGCATTTCATGCATTTGTCTCTCCCTACTTCCTCAAAGATTTTAGTTTCTTGGCTTCCATAACAAAACACTCTCCTGTTCTTTTACCACCACCTCATTGGCTGCCCTTCTTAGTTTCCTTGCTGGATCCTCCTCTAAATGTTGGAACAGTCCAGAAACCCAGTGTACAGATCTCTTAACAATCTCTTCTCATTCCCTAGGTGATCTCATCCAGAGATATTTAAAGCCTATTTAAATATCAACTGTCAACTGATAAAGTCATAAAGCCATAACTTCTCCCCTGGGCTCCAGATGTGTATAGCTAACCGTCCAGTTTGCGTCTCTGCTTGAATATCAAGTAGGCATCCTAATCTTAGTATCTTCCTAACAGAACTCATGATTCCCTTGCACTGTTTCCTTCAGAGCCAAAGCTGCATCTACCCTAATAGTCCTTGTCTTAGCTAATTGTTTCTATAATTTTTCTTATTATTCAAACCAAAAAATCTAGGAGTCTTAGTTGATTCCTCTTTTTCCCTTAGCACCCATGAGCAAGTCCTACTGATGCTACCTTAAAATATATATTACAAAACTAATCACATATTACCATCTGCTCTGCTTAAGTCTGGTCCAAACCAATATCATCCTGTGCCTGGACCACCACAATAGCTTCTACTTGTGCTGCGCTATAGTCTGTTCTCCTCAGAGTAGCCAAAGTAGTGTTTTTCAAAACATAAATCAGATCATACCACTTTTCTTTTTAAACCCCTCCAAAGGATGGTAATTACCCTCGAAAAAAAATTCACACTCGTTATCATAACATACAAGGCCTTATAAAATGCAACTGCTGTTTATCTCTCCAACATTATGCCCTTACTACCCACTCCTTGCATATTTTACTCTAGCCACACTGACCACCTTGCTATTTCTCAAAACAGCCAAGTTTCTCCCACCTCACGGTTTTATATATGCTATTCTCTCTGATTGGAAAAA